CACAAAATTTATCTTCGCCCAAGCATATCGAAAACAACAAACTAAAGAATTAATTGAATTTCTTGATTATTTTATTCAAATAATTGGTGCACCTAAAATCATTCAGACCGATAATGGTCCCTGCTTCATCTCAAAAGAAACTAAAGAATACTTCGAAAAACTAAGCATCAAACATCAAAGATCTACGCCTTATCGACCTTCTTCTCAAGGACTCGTTGAAAGAGTCAATCGAACTATTGGTACAAGAATTAAAATGTTTGCACAAGGCAATGAAAAGCAATGGGATGAAGAGTTACATGATATTGTGTTAAGCTACAATGCAACTCATTTTGAAAATTTGAATACTTGTCCCTTCAAACTCATCTTTAACCTATCTCCAAGAACACCTTTAGAAAACAAGTTTGAAATTGAAAAAGACAAACAAGAAGATACTGAAACTATTATAAAAGAAAGAAAACGTGTTAAAGATAAATTACTCAAGCAACAAGAAGAAAGAATTGCTAAAGCACCAATCAAACCTATTCCGTTTAAAGTAGGTGATTTCGTTAGAAAAGCAGTGAAATACTTAGACCGAAGTCTAGGAAAGAAATTAACTCCTGTATTCAAAGGTACCTATGTTGTTACAAAAGTTTATGATTCTACTGCTGTCATTACAGATCCTAAAACATTGAAAGAATTTAAGGTTAACTTTGAAAACCTAAAGAAAATTCATCATGATTCTGATCCTGAAAATACTGAAGAATCTAATCAATCTAACACTGATTCTGAAAGTGAAAAAGACTAGAATCATAATTTCTAATTATAATCCTTTTATCCTTTTTCGTTTTGAAAAATTTGCATTTTTCCTTTAAACTAACTAAATCAATTTTAATTCAACTGAATTTAAACTAAACAGAAAATTTAAAATCTTCTGATATCATTAGCAAAATTGAAATATAAGCAGAAAATTTAAAATCTTCTGAATCAAAAGAAATAACACCTTAACAGAAAATTTAAAATCTTCTGAATTTAAATATCACCATACAGAAAATTAAGAATCTTCTGAATACCAAAAACGAATTAACACTTGAACAGAAAATTAAAAATCTTCTGATTTGAAGCTGATTCACTAAAAAGAAAGCTTATTAGAAAATTGTAACAATATGAAGACCTTAGGTCGCCATCAAAGAACAATTATTAACTCACTTTCAATTCAATTGAATCGCTTTTTCTTGCTTTAATATTAACCATTGTAAATAGCGTTAGAATTCTTTTCTTTAAAACACATCGTTTTAGAGACTTTAAGTCTCTAAATCATTGTTAATTGAAACTGAAGACCTAAGGTCTTCAGATAAGATTAACTCCATTATTCACCTGTAAAATAGAACAAAACATCAAACAAAGAAAAGGCTTCAAACAAAGAAATTAACTAATCCGCTAGAGAGAGACAGCAAGAAAAACCGTTACATAAAAAGAATTGAAATACTTCCTTTGTTTCATTTTCCCACGATTTCACATTGAATCAACTTCACCAAAAGTCTCCATCTTTTCCAAGTTTATTCTTTTCCACATTTTCCATTTCCAAAATTCTTTTCAAGTTTACTTACCTTACCTTTCAACCATCATGTATCGAGGTACTAATTCCAGCGCAGCAAACTCTAAGTCTGCTGAAAGAATGAAGTATTACGAATCTCGTTTGAAAGCTGTTTTCGCAAATGAGCGAAAATATCACAGGATTAGAAAAGATTTGTGATGAAACTGAGAGACTCGTTTATCGAACGAGAGCTTATCTAAATGAGTGTAGACAAGCGATGCAAATCAGAGACTCTATGTTAAAATTAACTATGGAGGTAACTGATACAAAAGTAGCTGCTGCTGTTTTGTCAAAAATGCCTACACTTCCTCACCGATACGATGCTAGACCAAAGGTCATAGATGATGCTTTGTTAGCTTTCCTAATTTTAGGAGCCTACATAAGATGTAATCTAACTGATGAAGAAGAAAATGGCGTCAGAGCCTTACCTATCTCTATCTGTATCGAGGAAGAAATTTTAAATGAAATAGCTACGAGAGCTACAGCTGCAAAATTAGCTGAAGAAGATGAGGATGAAATCCAAGAGATTGATAAAATCGACAATTGTCCTAATTGTAGCGATTCTCCTGATCCTGAACCTATGCAAGCTATTCAAAATCCTGAACAAGAGGAAGATACTAATCAAGATGGATGGTTGAAGAAACTAACCAGAGATTTAGATTAAAAATGATCTGAAGACTTAGAGTCTTCAGCCTTTGGTTAAAGGTTTCAAACTAACAAACTCATTCGTTTCAATTCAATTTCATTTGGAAAGGAAGATCTGAAGACTAAACTAATTTCCTATTTAAAACTAATAATTCAATTTAATTCAAGTTAGACAAAATCTGAAGATTCAAAATCTTCAAGAAAAATTGTTTCATTTAAAACAAGCTAAAAATGTTCTATTCAAAAATTCAGTTTTCTATTCATTATCAGTTTAAACATTTCAGTTTCATTTTCAAACACTTATGTTTTATCCCGATCTTAACCAAACAATTCAATTTCTGTTTAATTCAAAATCAAAACTAACATTGTAATCATTATTACCATTTAATCAAGCTTTTCTGGCGACTTTAAGTCTTTAGATATCTTTTCCATTTAGAATTTCCAATAAAATTCCATTTCATTAACACTACTTGAAAACTTCGTTTTAATCATCATTTCTTTCAGAAAGTAGATCACAATTATCATCACAATTCGGGTGAATCATTCAGGTAAATAAAACTTATCAATTTTTAAACACAAAAATCAATTTAAAACAACTAATAATTAGTTTTAATCTAATCATAAGCAAAAGACCTTAAGTCTTTTGAAGAACAATTAGAGCGAAAGACAAAAAAGAATTTACTGTCTATTGTCTCAATTAATTGACACATGCTCAAACCCTATGGTCAATAATATTCTTTTTAATTGATTCCGTTTCCCCTTTCACTTTTCCCACACATTTTAGAGTGAACAAATTAAGTTCAATTTTCAATTTTTTACCCAATTTCTTAAATTTTTCAACTCAATTTAATTCAATTTAATTCAATTGTTTCTAAAGTAGAAAGCCTAAGGCCTTCTGAAACTGAACAATTAAGTTCCCATTTATTAAATTTCCTTAAAGATTCAAAATCTTTAGCTAAAAAGTGAAATCAAGTTTAACTCTCCATCAGTGATCCATAGAACACGTTCTTTTAACAAGAAGAATATTTCTCATCGAAAATCATTTTAACTCTTATTGTGTTGATTAAAGCCTTTAAGTCTGAAAAGTGTGATCTCAACAAAGTTGAAACAATCAAAATTCAACTCATTAATCAAAAGACTTTAAGTCTTTTGCGTGTTAACTTCGACTAAATTCGATTCTACATCATCGCAGCATCAACATCTTCTATTCATCTTCAAAAAGAATTTCCTGTTCAATTCAAGTTAAAGAAAAGATTTCCTCAATCAATTTATATCAGAAGACTTTAAGTCTTCTGCAAATTGAAACAAATAGATCAAAGACTTTGAGTTTTTTGAATTTGTTAAGGAATAAAGATAAGGCACAGTCAGATCAAAGACTTGAAGTTTTTGCGACTTGACATCATATCATTTGTATCATATAAAAAACGTACACGTTTGTGAGCAGAAAGTTGACAGTTTCGATCCCGTCAAAGCTGAAACGTTG